GTCGGAGAGGGGGAGGATCTCGGCGAGGCTGTTGCCGACTATGCCGGTGACGCCGATCACGAGACCCACGCTCTGGGGGCCGCGCAGGTGTTCGTCTTCATCTAATTTTTTCTGCAAAAATCGGAATTAAAAACGTTAATTAGGAAAAAAATTGGAAAAAAATGGAAAAAAAAAATTGGAAAGGATCGATGGCGGAGGAATTGTGATTGCCTTGGCAGCGCCAACAGCTCCGGCCCACCACCAGCTCATGTTCTCGGATTTCGAACTCTCTGAGAAATTACAAGTTAATTTCACAAAATTTTGATCGGATTTGCACCTTCGCGTCTTCGATTTTTCAACATTTCTGCGCCAACTATTCACATGGAGTAGCGGGGTCGAATTGTCTTTTTGCGCCGGATGATTGATTGTGCCACGTCATTAACGGTGACGTGGAGGCTTTATATTCTTTTAGGATAAAATTTTCAATTTGACCGTCACAATAGATAGTACATCACATGTCGTTATATAAAAGTTAATAATTTTAAAAAAATATTTCTCACCACTTACATAAAAACAAATGAAATACTATCTGTATTTCCGTCACAATTAAAAATTTTTCTTTTTTTAAGGCCCAGCTCCAAGTCCAAGCCCAATAATCTAACAAATTCGGTTTAGTGTAAATTCAAATTTGCGCCCTGGAGTTCTAATATATGTAACAATTGGTCCTTGAAGTTTTATTTTTTATTTTTTATTATTAGCAAACAGCATTTCCAAAATTACAAATCGTTGCAACATTAACCCTTCTTTTTTCTTTTAATTTTTTTTTTGGACAAAGAACATTAACTCTTCTATCCATGAAGCACAGAATGAGACTATTTTTGGTGTTCCAACAAAAGCCATGACAAACACGGAAGAAATTTTATGGCCATAGAAATGCAATATAAGGAGCTTTCAGTCACTTTAAAAGCGATTTCAGTCATTTTACAATTGTAATCTTTTTCTACATTAACACTATAATCTAAAATATTATTATCTACATGTTACACGTAACTGACAAGTAATAAAATTCAACTCTCATAATTGATGAATTTAGTACTACTAACTATTATACGAAAATGTGAGGAACAAAATCTCACTCGGTGATGAACCAAACCATCCAAAAACTATTAGCAGCGCCAATAGCTTCGGCCCACCACCAGCTCATACTTTAGAGCCGCCGGGGTGGTAAATAAAACTGAGAAAAAACCAATATCAATAAATAGAAATAGTTTGGGGAGTGGACAGTGGAGGTGACATGTAGAAGTTGAGAAGGGCAGTTATCAGTCAAATATTGGGTGAAATCTAACTGCCAGTCTTTTTGTTTGCAGCGGTAGCAGCCTGCATGAGTCGTGACATAGTTTCCAACGTGGATCTTTGTCATATATTTGTCTGTTTATCTGCTTATTGGAATTAAATAACACTACATGTGAGTCATGATCCAAAATAATATTACATAATCATGCGATCAATAATAGTAATTCATATTTCTTCTAAAATATCTTTCAAGTGTCTCTTTGATTGTATAAAGAAATATGACTTATGTGCCAGTGTTCCGAACACATTAAAAATCTTTTCTAAATTTCTGACCAAGAGTGAGTTTAGTAAATAGTTTACATTAGGATAGATAAAGGTTTCGAAGAAATTATTGTATAGTATTGAAACCATGTATGATAATTTTTTAGTGGAGTGGTGACACTTTTACATGATGTTACTGATCCAAGTGATATAAAATGGATTAACGAATCTTGTATAGTATTGATAAGGATAATGCTAGGAAGACTAAATTTGTAGAAAAAATTTGTAAACTAAATGATATGTCACCAATAGGAAACAAGCACGTTTATTAACGCTTAAGTAATATCTCAATTATCAACTTCCATGTCATTTAGTTTAAAAATAATTCTACAAATTTAGTCTCCCCTATCATATTACTCTACTGATAATAGATGATGCTAGTAGGACCAATATATTGTCCATAGTTCATGCTCATACTTCTTATTTTCGGAATGAGTTAGTAACTAAAGCATTTGTATGTCAATAATTGCAATATTTTTTTAAAATTAGCACTATAATTTAGTGATATTATTCTCAACGTGTAAATAAGAAGTAATAATACTCAACTCCCATAATTGATGAGTTTAATATCAATAAATATTGAGTGTGAAAAAGTGAAGAACAGAGTCCCATGTCAGTGATGTAGGACAACTCTCAACACGTTCTACCTTTTACTTACCATTAGTTTATCGTAAACGCACTTCCTTCATCTCGTTATAGAAAAATATGGAAAATGTAATAATTTCAAGTTTTCTGTTCTTGGTGGCAGGAAAAGCAATTACGTATGTTCTATTGAAAGGTGATAAGATTGGGGTTCCACCATAAAACCAATTGGCAATATAAGGAGTAGCCCAAGACCATATAAGCACATAGCAAACTTGTCCCGTCACCGATGTGGGACAACTCTCAACACGTGGCCATTAGGCTTCACACGTGGGACAACCTGCTCTGATACCATGATAAAATTGAGTTCCACCATAAAACTAATTGACAATATAGAGAGTAGCCCAAGACCATTTAAGCACATAACAAACTTGTCCCATGGGCTGGCCCAAGCCTGCAATGGGTACAGAAATTTCGTGAAGGGCTTTATTTGAGAGCCGACTGGTCCATGGTCCATGGGTATTCCCGTAAAGATCCAGTCTTCAGTTAGCTAGCTGGTTTGATAGACGAAGAGAGGAGACTGGTTGAGCACACCGCATAGCAGTCGGACTCGGACCCAGTCGCCATTGTTGGAGCTCCATAGGTATTTGTATTTCCCTTTTCCGTGATTTCTTATGAACTTTGTCCACTCAAATTCCCTTTTAATTTAAACATTTTTAACCTAAATTTATACTGAATATGTAAATGCTGAAGCTTGATCGCTAGTTCCGGCCTGCAAACCGCCATAGCTGCAGCGATGGTTCTTACCAACTTCAATGGAGCTGGCGTTGGATTCGGTATGATTTCATAAAGCTTCTTTTGTTATAATCTATGTGGTGCGATGAGACCGTGACCAATTCAGTTTGTTTTCTTCAGGATTTGGTGTTGGCTGCGGATTCGGCGTTGGATGGGGTTTCGGAGGTTGGTTCCTTCTCCCGGTTGAATTTTGATTGCTTTTTTTAATTCATTTGCCTGAAAAATGTTTAATCTTTGTAACAATTAGAATTGTTAATTAGAAGATTTAAAACAGTTTTTGGTGCTTAATTTCATAGCATAATTCACTATTAATTAGGCATTTCCACAAATTGTGCAATAAAAGAAGTGTTTACAGCATATCATCTTGGTAGATATTGTGGATCCACAAGGCGAATGGTTTCGAAATGATTTCTGTGCTGTTTATGAGCAGTGAAGAAACGAACTTTCGAAGTGCAAAGTCTGTGAATTGTGAATCTGTTTTTTAGCACCGTTTCTTAGAATAATGGTTGACAAATAAACACCAATTCTCAATGGTTGAGCTGTTGAGGAGATGAAGTTGTTCTGATCACCTTGGCATCTTCGTAAATCTTGTGTTCTTATGGTCATTTGATGGTGTCTCTGTCCTATCTTTTAAGAAAAAGGAAATTTGTAGCAACTCGTGAAAGGACTGTAAGCTCTACTTGGTTCTTCACTTTCAAAATGTAGTGGGGTAAAAATTTGTTGATACTTTCTCAGAGGAGAAGTAGGCTCTTTGAATACTAGGGATTTATTCAAGACGGATGTGATGTCAATGGAATCCGCTTTTCAAGACAGATGCGATGTCAATGGAATCCGCTTTTCTTGGAGGGAGGGTAGTTTTAACTGAAAGGAATAGTAGGAATTGGTTCTTCCCCACGGGCCAATATAGGAACCTCAGAAACATGTTAATATTTGGACCATCTGATGGTCAATTGAGATCCTTTTTCATCATGTTGGTGCACTAACGATTGGTTTGAACTTAAAGCATCTGTACCTGGTGGATTATTGGGTGGGTTTTTCTTTTCGGCATGTATATGTGACTGAAAACGAGATATTCTCCTCCCCTCTTCTTTTCCACCAATGCAAAAATCCCTTGATCTGTCTCCTCTCTAGCGTGGCCAAAATTTTGATACCTTGCGAGTCTGGTTATGCGTTTGGATCAATTAGTGATTACTTGATCATTAGTCAATGCAGAAGTGTTGGACTGGTTGTGTCTCTTGAGTCGACATTGCAGCTGCATTTAAGCTTAATACAGATTATCATATGATGTGCTTAGTATTTGTTAGCCGCAATTTTACCTTAGGATTATCAACTAGCATTAAGGAATTATCCTTATTTACTTAAACACTGTTTGTTATTCGTACTGATGTACTGTGATACATCTTGTTTGCTGATTTACGACGTTTTTCTGCTACAGGCACACCTTTGAACTTCTTGGGCCTTGGTGTAGGTATAACCTTTCCCTTTTAATCAAACCGGAATCTCATGTTTATATTTTTGGAATGTGTTGGATCTATATCAAGTACATCACGATGCATCTGTCATTAACCGGTATATTGTTTCGTAGGCGGAGGCTGTGGAGTTGGACTAGGTCTTGGATGGGGCTTCGGCACTGCCTTTGGTAGTCAGTATCATTCATCTGGGGTCACATTCCAGGGCATAGACTTCGGCAAGAAGGATCAAGATGGTGCTTTACAGAAAAGCAACCAGGACATTCGTGCCTCGCGATAGCTTCTCGTTACAGCATTTCCTCATCATTGCTGTGAACCGAATCCATAAGCGCAGACACAGCTTATGTCGCTATGCAAGTCGACTTAGGTGCCAATGTAGAGAAAACGGGAGATTTTTTTATGCATGCAGTACTTCAATTGAGTTTGTAGAATACATTTCAATTCGAGTTATATAATATTGAGGATGGAAACGAAAATTTGTTTCATATCGTAAGTAAACGTAAGAAATCTAAATTTTATATACTACAGAAACAGTCACAGTACATAACGCGAAGCTACACGGAAAAGGAAAGAAAATTTATATTACAAGATGCAGTAGCACATATCTTTCAGCTTACAACTTTCGCTGATATCGCTTGTATAATACAACAGAAGTTTTCCTCCGCCAAAGGAATCAAAATTGGAGGAGGAAAACATCAAAACAAAAGTGGAATCCTTTGAGGTTCTCTTAGGTTGTGCTCATCGCTTGGCACTTCAACAACGTGTGAAAATAGTATTGCGTTTTCCTACTTCTAGGTCCATCGATTGATAGTTTCTCCCCGTTCTGTCACGATCTACCAAAAACTGTGGACAAAGGCCACAGCTCAGATCGCACGCAACACAAAGACTGCAAAGAACGAAAATGCCAAACTCATGAATACAAAACTAGCTTTCAACAAGAAATGACAGAAAGAGACAGACTCGTTTAGCATGACAAACATTTAAAATAATACCATTAGCTGGATAAGCAACACATATAAGCTATTCAGACAACATTCGTGTCCAAATTGTATCTCAACATTGTGTCTATGTGCAAAACAAAGATCTGGCAGGGTTCAGTGAAGCTTACCAATCAAGAAAAGGAGTACACCGATCCAAAGTGCTACGCGTGCAGGCCAACTATATTGCATATAGTACTGAGACCGTTGAAGTTGTCTCTGGATAGCTCCGTACCAGCCATACAATGGTTTATCGTAACATTCATCGCAACTATCCAAACAACTCTTATTTTTTTCCAAGCAAGCATTGATGCCCTAAACGGAAAACAAGAATTTTAATCACTAGTAACACAATGCCAAGAATGTAAGGTCTCGTAGTAAATTAAATCAGAGTAAAGCGTACATACCCTAGTCAACTGAGTAGGTGGCAACAATGCAGTATCAGCGTCTTCATGACGGTCGACTGCCTTCCACTTTCTAAAACCATTCTTTGACCACTTCAACTTTGACGCGGTTTCCATGGAACTAAGAAACCCAGACATACTAGGAATCTTTCGTACAGGATGCTCAACCATCATAGCAGAAGAACTTGGTACGTATCCATCGTCAAAAACAGCAATTTTCCAGGCACCAATGTCAGCACTATCACTAGCTGTCCTCCTATGCCCATGTGACTTCTCCTCCCTAGTCTTCTGGGAGCCCAACTCGTTCGAACCACATGAGTTCTTTGAACAACCTGGCGCTGTATCTCCATCTGTGACTCGTGGTTTTTCAACATCCTTGTCGTTATTTTTGGCAACAACTGTCTCTTCGGAAGCAGATGGTCCAGAAAGAAAAAATGCAAGTTCATTGCACTCCCCTTCATCCAAACGCACCCAAGGCTGAGAAGCCTTGCCCTCAGAAAGGGCAGCTTCCTTGAACGATTTTTCAATTTTGGAAACCTGCTCCTCGATGGCAACAATGAATGCACGGTGCCTCTCTCTTGCGTCTTCACATGAGCTTCTTGCATAACTTGACCTGACTGCTCGTGTAAACTCCTCTAACTGCATTGCCACAAAAAAATTCAATCAACTATTCACAACACTGATACGGGGCATAACACCAATTCCTAACGTTGGTCTGTCTAAACGGCAACAGCCATAGCTGAAGAGTGAAAGAAGGCAGAGGACCTGCCATTTGGTAGTTCCAAGAGTTGTACAAAGATCCCTGCGAAGTTCCTCGGAATCCCACATACTGGAAGCGTCTTTCCTGGCGTGGATCCATGTTCGATATGTAGATTCCATCCTTCAGAACCACATAAAAAAACAAAATTAACATACAATTTACAACAAAAACCATATATCATCCTTAGCAGTCAATGCACATTGCATTTGAAGAACAAGTGCAGACAAAAACCACACTTCCGGTTTTCATATAAACACGTCACGGATAAACACCGATTACTCAATGGGTTTATAAACAGATTGTATAGGGAAACAAATAGAACATTAAATCGTAAATCATGAATTTTAATTAATTGGGGCCAAATTTCGTTTCTGCTGAACGTCGCCTAAAGCTGAGATTTGATTCAAATGTGCTGGAAGCTATCAAATTAAAGATGCCATTCAAAATTGCAATAAAACTTCGAAAAGCTACAAATTTATTGGAAAAAACTACAAATTGATTGAACATATTTGGCATTGGAGCGCCAGAAATAACAGAATGAGAAATGCTACCTGTCCGGCGGATTCTTGAACTTCTTCGGCCGCCGGAAAAAATGGATCTTTCTCCCATCGATCAAAACTTGACGCCATTAATTAATCAGCCCAAATTTATATATGAATTAGCAACCAATCTTGTTTTATTCCAAAAAAAAAAAAAAAAAAAAAGAAAAAGAACCCTAGCTCGAAAATTGATTTAATTCCGAAATTAATTTGAGTAAAAATTGACAGTGGAAGCAAATAGAAATTAGAAATAGACAAAGAGGGTAAAGGGGAAGTTGGGTGAGGAGAGATTTCGTTATTTCAGCGATGCAATTTGGATTTGCAGGCGACAGAAGATTTGGGTTGGGGAAGAGAGAGAGAGAGGCATAAATAACTGGGAGTTTCTAAAAAGCCCAGAACGATGTCGTCTGGTGAAGTTGAGAGTTTGGAGAGGGGTCAAAATTGGTGGATTGCATGGTGATGGTGATGGTGATGGTGATGCGCCAGCGCGTGGGTGATTGCGGTCCACTGACAACTTCCTTGGCTTTTAATTGCTACTTTAATTGTTTAACAATTTTCTTGGCTATTTCCTTTTCTCTCAACCGTTTTCCTCACTCATCGAGAGTATTTTGTTAAACCTCTATTTTTCCTAAGATACAACCGTGATTTTAGTCACTTGAATTGAGTTTATTATACTTAAGATATAACGAAGAGTTGTTCACGTTTGAGTACGCTGATTCTAATTTATAACTATTGATGAATTGTGAACTTCACACGCATTAGTGAACATGATTCTTCACAGGATATAAATTATTAGTCTTAGCGATGTTTTTATTCTACTAGGCTGCAACGTATATAGGTGTAGCTCTTTTTCAAATTGAGGATCTCCGAATCTCTGTGTCTGGAGTAGTCGGACTCATAAATTGAAGTCGTTCAAGACAAATCTAGGCCGTTTAAAGACTTCATTTTCTATGAGATAGATTAGTGAGATGAGCTAATGAGAATTATAATATTTAAATTGTACAGTTGGAATTTTAGTGTCCAACAGCTTCGGACACAAGAGATCTAGAGAGGATCTCAACTCCTCTTTTTCTTCTCTTAATACAAGCTATAAGCTATACATCGTTTTTCAAAATTAAAAATTAGCTTTGGGCATGGTCTTTCCTTGCCCACGTCGAGTAGGACAATGATTTTCTGCCCTCTTACTTTCGGTGTCCTTCGATGCTCTCATGTTTTGTGTGGTCAAGGTTAAGTTACGTCAACATTTTATATTATTTTTTTTATAGAGATAATAAGACAAAAATGAATAATGATATAAAATGTTGACTTGGCTTAATCATAACCACACAAACAGAAGGGCACTAAAGGTGGAAACAATCCTTGTCCCATTTAGTATGCATCAATTTTCACCCAACATTTATTATACAGTATTACATTGTACTTAATTTTCCGCCCACCATTTATGGTCTCTTTACCCAACAAACTTCCAATTGTACCCGTCAATTTCATTCATCAAATACACGCACGAGAATTTTATAATGATTACAACCTTTAAGTGTTGAATTAACCAAAACTGGTTATTCTAATAAATACATCTAAATGCTGAATTAACCAAAATATTGTTGAACTACAAAGATAAAATGAGTTATACAAAAGTGATACAATGAGTTTCAGGGTCGATCTAGAGATTTTTGAGGCTCAGGGCGAAATAAAAAAATATGCCATTATTTTATATAAAAAATATTTGTTTTCATACGTAAGACATCGATTAAATTATATTTAGAAAAACACTTCAAATCAATAATTTAGAAACACAAAATAATTAATTTATTTTGTATCAAGAGAAGGAAACGAAAAAGCTTCGGTCTTACAAGAAGATAGATTATGAGTTTTGTTTTCCATCTGAAATTTTAAAGTGTTTTTGTATAAATCGTGAGTTATTTTTTTTCTTATTTACTAACCTCGTCAATATAAGACTAAAAAAATATTAATGTTTTTGAGTCTTTAAGGATATGTATAAGTAATGAATGAACACTAAATTAAACCTTTTGATGACATGTAATATTATTTGCAAATTTGATCAAAAAATTTAGTCTATACATTACTCTTTGCTGAAGATTAGACTTGAATTGAAACGGATATTTAAAAATAGCAATCCACATAGCTACTTGCTAGTAAATAAATTAACAACCGAACAAAAATTTGTAAAAATTGAAAAAAATAAACATGTACATAGCATTTCGAACTTAGAAGCTCTCGTTAATTTAAAACAACAAAAACTATTGCTTCTAATTAAACTTCTTAATTATTTAGCCAAATTTTATAAATTTATTCTATTATGAAAAAAAATTCGTAAAAGTTAGAATGTAAATAAGCACACATGGTGTTTTGAACCTAAGACCTCCTCATTCATTTTAAACAACAAAACCACCAAATTTTATAAATTTGTACTCTTATAAAAACATATACAAATATATCACCCTAATAATTTTGGTGCCTCAATTTTTTTAGACCTTGAACGGTCACCTTGCCTGCACTAGACTTGGGGGGGGGGGGCCTGATGAGTTTAAAAGAGTGTTTGAACACTTACATAGCATTTCGAACTTAGAAGCTCTCGTTAATTTAAAACAACAAAACTATTGCTTCTAATTAAACTTCTTAATTATTTAGCCAAATTTTATAAATTTATTCTATTATGAAAAAAAATTCGTAAAAGTTAGAATGTAAATAAGCACACATGGTGTTTTGAACCTAAGACCTCCTCATTCATTTTAAACAACTACTGCGACAAAGATTGATTTTTTTTTTTTAATCAATTTTAAGCCAATATATTCTTTAAAATAATTTGGAATGTTTAGGGGTAAATTGGATGTTCATATTTTGTTGGGTAATAAGACCGCAATGCTGGGTGCAAATAGAAGAGCACACCCTTTATAAACCTTGACCAGGGTTTTGACCAGCACTGTACACTGAGACAGACATGGAAGAAGGCGCGCAACTATGTGAGGCGGCGAGGAACGGCGACACCGAGAAGCTGAAGGCTCTAATACTCGCCGGAGCTGACGTTACGTACTTCGACGGTGAAGGCCTCAATCCGCTGATGCACGCCGCCAAGCTGGGCCACGCCGACGCCGTCACTGCCCTTCTAGAAGCTGGCGCGCCCTGGAACGCCTTATCCCCCTCCAATCTCTCCGCCGGCGATTTCGCGATGGAAGCAGGCCACGAGGACGCCTACGACATCCTCCTCAATGCCGGTACGTAATTTAGCATATAAATTAGAAAATGATTGTAATTTGGATTTTTTCTTATGAATCAGAAATGCAAGTGTTTGATTGATGTGAGTTGAATATTAGGGATTCAAGCTGAATTGGTACTCGGAACGATTGCGCGGAGGGAGAAGAAGGATGGGGATAGCGATGGTGATTATTTGGAAGACAGAGTGAGCTTTAGTGAGGATAAGCTTATGGACTCGAATTGTAAGGCGGTGATGATGGCGTGGGAGCATCCGTTAATGGAGGCACACGCGAAAGCGGTTTGTTCCGGAGGTGGCCATATATTGAACATTGGATTTGGAATGGGGCTTGTGGATACAGCCATTCAGAAATACTCCCCTGCTTCGCACACCATCGTTGAGGCTCACCCGGAGGTTTATCAGCGTATGATTCGAACCGGTTGGGCTCAGAAGGATAATGTGAACATAATATTCGGTCGATGGCAGGATGTGCTACCTCAGCTTAAATCATATGATGGTAGGTGAAATAGAAATGAGCTAATTCAATTGACGGTTTAAGCTTCAATTTATGTAAATTTATGAAATTTTGGGTTCGTTTGTGCAGGGATTTTCTTTGACACCTACGGAGAGTACTATGAAGACCTGAGAGAGTTCCACCAGCATCTTCCCGTGTTGTTGAAGCCTGGGGGAATCTACTCGTTCTTCAATGGCCTTTGCGGAGGTAATGCGTTCTTCCATGTTGTGTACTGTCATTTGGTCTCTCTAGAGCTTCAGAATTTGGGGTACTCTACACAGTTCATTCCATTGCCTGTCAAGGATTGTTTAGGAGACGAAGTTTGGGAAGGTGTCAAACAAAAGTATTGGCAGCTCGATACTTATTACCTCCCTGTTTGTCAGTCTGTAGATGATACGGAATGATAGTTGGACTTCGCTTTAGTTTATATTTTAGCTTTTTTTTCTTATTGTAACTTCAAGATATTTCATTGTGATTGATTTCATGATGATTGCATTGTAGACATGCTCTTTGAATTTCCAGTTTTATAGTGATATGTTGAATTTCTGAATGTCTCTTTTCAACTGCTAAAGGCTTTGTTCTTGTTTGTCTCTTTTCAACTGCTAATTCAGTGTAATTCTCAATATGGATTTCCAAAAATAGAAAATTGATGTGTTGTGGCCGATAACTTGGACAAAAAAAACAACAAAGCCTTTGCCCACTAAGTGGGGAAATGATTGTTGCTAAAGTTAAAACCAGCTGATAGCAATGGGACTACTCACTATGTGTTTCCCATCGGACCAGACCAGGCGGGCAAATATGTCTGTACCAGATGGCATGGCACCCGTAACAAAAGTCACAGTATAAGTCTTCTTCTCATATGCTTGACTGAAACTCAGTGATTTTGGTTCAACCAAGATCTTCACTGAGTTGCGAGTGTAGAGTCTATGGACACAGAGACATTGTATCTTGCTGGTGGACCAACATTGGTCAGAGTCCTCGTGTATTTTTGGGTACCTGCTCCACCGTTGTCTGAATTTGTGTATAGGCCTACAGCAAAAGATGGATAATTAAGGTCTCCAACGCTGTAATTCTTGCTGGAATTGCAGGTGAAGACTCTGTGAGTCAATTTCTTGATATCTGTTGTTGTATAATGCAAGGCACAGAGGAAGCTTAGGTAGTCCTCGACTGTAAGATCGTAAACAAGGCCAGGGTCAATGGCTGCCACTGGATCTACATGCCCAGCACCGTAATCGTATGGTGTTGCAGCATTTCCAGTAGCAATATCTTTGATTGTTTTTCCATTTTTGTATGATGTATAAGATGTGGTCATGAGAGCAGACTTAATGGCTGCAGGGCTCCATTTTGGGTGAGCAGCCTTGAGAATGGCGGCCAACCCGCTCACATGTGGGCATGACATGGATGTACCTGAGAGGATGTTGAAGCTCACCCACATGTTGTCGTCATCTAGTCTTGTTGGTCCAACTGCACCAGTCCACCCAGCTAGGATGTTCACTCCTGGTGCTATTAGGTCTGGTTTGAGTACGCTCGGAGAGACTGGATTTGGTCCTCTAGAGCTGAATGCTGCCACCACTGGTGAGGGTTCCACGCCTAACTGTGTCTTCCCGAAAGCAAAGTGCGCTTTCGGATCTGCCTGGGAGGCGGTATATCTTTTTATTGCCTTACCAGCTTCATGGCCAACCATTATTGTAGCCAGTA